TAAATCCAATATTGTATTAAGAATAAATCCAATATTGTATTAAGAAAATAATAGGCTTTAATATTTTCAAGATTCATGTTCCAGCACAACAGCACCAAAAACAAGTAAAAATGCAATTAACCAATACAGTGGACCCTCGGCGCACACACGGCTCAATGGCTCGATTCAAATTTGGCGCTTCCTTCTTGGAGGTCCCCCGCCAAGGCAGGCTTTCCCAGGGTGGACCGGGTCTACCAGGGGAGGGCTTCCCCCAGTAGGCCCAGTCTACTGCCCAGGAAAGCCTGGTAGACCGGGCCTACCAGGGGAGGGCTTCCCCCAGTAGGCCCGGTCTACTGCCCAGGAAAGCCTGGTAGACCTGGAAGCCCTCCCCTGGTAGGCCCGGTCCACCCTGGGAAAGCCTGTGGGGGCGGAGGAACCTCCAAGAGGCCTCTGGCAGCAGCGGGGAAGCCCTCGGAGGCCTCAGGCAGCGGCGATGGTGGCAGCGGGGGACCCCTGGAAGGCTTTGGACAGGTAAGGTGTCTTTATTTTAATTTTGTTTGTGTGGGGGGGTTCTTGGGCCGGTTACGGATTACAGGGTTTTCAATGCATTCCTATGGGAAATGGACCCTCAACCTACGGACTTTTCGACCTGCAGTCACCATTCCAATATGGATTAATTCCATAGGTCGAGAGTCCAGTGTACTATTTTTAACATCCACAGGATTATAGGCTGCAACAGTAACTATCAAAATGAAGAAGAAACAGATGTATTGAGAGCAATAATTTAAAATTAGTACTAGACAGACCTAGAAATTTGTCTTTGTTGCTTGTTGAGAGGTGAAAAAATATTGGCCAGACGGACTGCCTTCAGGAAGAGTGTTTCACATTAACGACATTAAAAACATCCTGTTTTCCATAGTGCCTTGCCCATTTCAGACAGTGCAAATTATGCAGCAAGGTTTCAGCAAACGATCTAATATACCAGGCAGATTCACACAAGTAGAGACAATTCTAACTAGCATTCTTAAAACTATACACAAATTTCTGAGTTACATAGAACTCTTTCTTATACTGCATGTGGAAATAAAGCAACTGAAGCATTTTGACTCAATCTGATAAAAATGAATATGTCAACAAACTGCAGCTGTTTCATTTGATCTTCAGCTTTTGCTACAGCTTTTTGTTGCCAGTACTAGCTGCCAATTATATCTCCTGAATCAATATCTTTAATTCTATCATCAACTCTAGCAATCGTTGTGCAAGGCACCACTGTATTTAATTCTATCATCAACTCTCGGCTGGTTTTTATCAAACACTTTCTCATAGTTAGTAAGGCATATCTATCTATGTCACTGCATCTCTCCCCAAGTACATGTAGGCAGAATTATGCCTTCCTAGTTCCAAATCCTCCTCCAAATCCAAATCAGGTGTCTTCTGACTTTTTTTTACATTTCTTCTACATTTTGCCACGTTTTATCTTTAAGAAACCTTAAGCAAATGGCTCATTATCACTATTGGTACAGCTCTTTCTCATTCTGTAGTCAATACAAGCATGGCACTCTCTTAATTGGATAAATGTAATAAAGTTCCATTTCAGGCATATTTTAAGAATTATTCCTGTTCTCTAGATCCAATTCAAAAATTTAATTAAAACGTTTAAGTTGTCATCTTTTATTATCTTTCATAAGATAACCTTATAAAAACACTGCTACATCCAGGAGCTTTGCTACTATTGTGAACCATACCACACTTTGGATTTCAGATTTCTCTAGAAATATTTGTTTATGATGTCATGTGGTACAAACAATTCTATTTGTTATCCTTAAACAGTCCTTTAATGTACTCACTCCACATCTTTCATATCAAATATCTGAAAACTATTACTGTTCATCAGCAATGGGCTCTGCTTTTTTGAATGTTTCCTACCTCCTTGACCTTTTAATGCACATTAAAGAAGCTACTGATCTTCTCTAGGTTTTCTAATTCTGTACATTATTTGAACCACCATTTCCTCTCAGATTCTCTAATTGTGTTTCCTTTTTACTGACTGTGAATTTTATTAACAGATATACCGGTAATAGTAATATCATTATTATTATATAATAAAATCACTGTAAATTAAAAGGAAATTTAAGTAAGTATTTGAGTGTTAATGAAGCTTCAAAGGAAAAGTTCATAGCTTTAAAAAGCAAAAAGAAATACCTGGCTGAAGACGTACACCAGCCTCCCATTAATTCTACCCTGACCAGTTACCACACTATCTCCAGGGAACTGTAAAGGAGAATGAAGAATATACAATTCAGAAGACCAGTAGGATTAAATAATCAGGAAAACAACCACATCAAGTATTTGCTAACCCAAAACTAACTCAGGGTCTCTAGGGCAGAATTAATCTTCCAATTAAGTTCCTACTTAGGTATTACCTACCCATACTTTTTGTCCAATAAACTAGCAGGGGAATGCCTATTCCCTCTTCTCTGCATCATCACTTTCTCCAAGTGAAAAGTGATGTGTTCGAAGAAAAGAGATTACTGCTCATGTGTCAGCAATTCTTACAAGCAAGAACCCTGTAAAACTGGTGTTCTTGCTACCATAGAAAACCTATATACAAACAGGAAACATTTTTCCAGGGTGAGTTATGTGACTCGGAGAACTCAAACTGGCAGGCGGCAGAGCAGCCCTCTTGCCTCCATGCCATCCCCATGCCTCTTCTTTAAACCTTTCATGCCCTGCTTCACCATGGAGGTCACAAGGATTCCCTATGACTCACAAATGTGCATGGCAGAATACATTCCAACAAAGGTTGCCTCCATAAAGAGTGTATAGAGACAGCCTCCAACAGAACTTGCTCCCCCATGCATGTCTGGGAGTTGCAGGGAATCCTCACAACTCCCAAAGTGCAGCAGGACATTTTTCTATTAGTTTGAAGAAGTAGCACAGGAACGGCATAAACATAAGAGAACGGCTCTCCCCACTGTTTGTTGGAGGGCTCCCAGTCCCATAATTTGACTCAAGGAGTTGCTGCCAGATTTAGTACATCCGTATTTAGTACATTATCAAGTGTGGGGGGGGAGTAAGAAATCCACCAATGGGATTAGATTTCTAAACAGCCTTGTTTAACTTTGAGTATCACATATAGAACTTTTAGAGATGTGTGGAATGATGGTTGAAGCAAAGAGATGGGAACACTTCAAATATATGGGAGAAATCCGCTCTGTTACAGCACAGTAGCAACTAGATATTTCTCAATGACAAAGAGTCCAAATCTAAAAGCAAAATAAAGATCAGTTGGGTACCTTGTTTTTGTCAGCCTCCATCCCAAAATCTGCACATCTGTGTTCCACAAACATGTCATATTCTACAAAACTATCAGGATCCAATAAGAGAAGCACACGCTCCCTAGCCGTCAGTTTCCCCTAAGAAGAAGAAATAACATTAACACTATAAAGTTTGGAAAGTCTATAGTACAGCTACATACCATCACAAACATACACGTCTTCCTTCAACAACACTACTGTTAGAGGTGCTAGACCCGTGTAACTCAAAATCCATATATAGCTTTAATGTCCCCCAAAACGTAACTGAAGCCTCTATAAGAGGGACAACACTGAGGCACGATCTCCCCCCCCACACCCCATGAAGCAGCACAACACTGTGACCTCCCCCAAACCACATCAGCCTCCCAGCATGCACCAGCACCCTCCCCAGGCACCACATTGAGCCACTATGCCAGGAGAGAGGGCTGGCTGGGCCGCAGCCTTTGGGCTGGGGGCTGCCACACCACCAAAAAGCTTCAGTAAATCCAAGAATAGCAACACAATATTTATTTAATATTGACTTAAATATTTATTGGGGGGAAATCCACGTATAACCAAAACTGTGCTGCTCAAACCCATGCAATTCAAGGGTTTGTATACAATGTGTATACAGTGTCAACTACCAATGTAAAATTTTGTTCAAATGGATGTTTGAAAAGCAAAGTTAATATTGCCTCTAAATGCTTTAAACAAATAATGGAGAGCTATGTATATGAAAGACAAAATTAAATAACCACAGAAACATTTAACAGAGCAGGGTGCTGTCAAGGAAAAAGAATTATCTCTCTTGGCACTGAACTGAAAAAAATACAGTGGTGCCTTGGTTAACAACGATAATCCGTTCCAGGAAAATCGCCGTTAAGCAAAAACACCGTAAAGCGAAATTAAAAACCCCATTGAAACGCATTGAAACCCGTTCAATGAGTTCCAATGGGGTAAAAACTCACTGTCCAGCAAAGATCCTCCATACGGCGGCCATTTTCGCTGCCTATATAGCAAGGAATCCGTCCCTAGGCACAAGGGGGAGCCATTTTAAGCACCTGCGGGCCATTTTGAAAACCCAACGATTAGCTGTTTTTGATCGTCATAAAGCAAAAATTGGTTCCTGAAGCAGGGAACCGACCATCACTAAGCGAAATTCCCCCACTCAGACCATCGTTTTGCGATCGCAACTGCGATTGCAAAAAGATCGTCATAAAGCGGATTTGTCGTAATGCGGGGCAATCGTTAAGCGAAGCACCACTGTATTTATTTATTTATTAATTGGTTCAATTTATATACTGCTTTTTCTCCAGTAAAACTTTCTACCTTCCTAATTTGTCCTCACAACAACCCTGTGATGTACATCAGGCGGAGAAAGAGTAAATGACCCAAAATAACCCTAAGATTTTCATAGCTCAGCGAGGACTTTTAACTGAACCTCCAAAGTACCAGTCCAACACTCTAACCACTGAAGCATAATGATGGAGAGGGAAGCACAATCATTATGAGGATAAAACTTATCTTCATACATTTAACATTCAGGACACACAGACTATTCATAGCAACAGCAAAATTATACTGTACATGTGCTTTTCTGATAGCTAGAATGCATGAAATAAAATACTGTATACTTTTCCTCCATAATACATTAGATTGGCTTGGTATGAAAAATTAGCAGTGGGAGACTTACAAGTTTATTAATAATCTAAAAGAAGAACATAACTGGTAGACTATATTACAATCTGATCCACTCTGTGTAATTCATTGCACTGAACTGAAAGTGACTTGATGACACATAAATTATTTTGTCAGTTCAGGAATCTGGGCCAAAAGAGTTAATTGTAAACTACTTTCATTTTGTTTTTCCAATGAAGATGTAAAACAACATCACATCTTAGATGTAACATAAATTTGAGACTGTTTGAGGATTTTTTCTAATGCAGCAGATTAAGGTTTTCTAGCTATATTCTTTTAAACTGCATTTGAAGATAAATTTTGAGCAGAATTTTTCAAGTTTTCTGTCAATCCTCAATTTTTAAGATAACAACAGAAAATAGTAAGAAGGCAACAACTCACTAAATAAATAAGCATTTAACTAAACAGAGTTAACAGATTATTTGGAGTAGGAGCTTTTAAACAAGTTTCATAGTAAGAAGGCAACAACTCACTAAATAAGTATTTAACTAAACAGAGTTAACAAATTATTTGGAATAGGAACTTTTAAACAAGTTTCATACATTACTTTTTAAAAGTAACTTTCCAAGCTCCAATCCAAACTCAGATGAGAGATTTCATTTAAATGCCTCACAAAATCCATTAACAAAGCATGAGCATGACAGTTCGATTGTCTTTCCCCATCATCCTACAATCTGAAGCATATGTCTCTGAACAAGGACATCTTTACAGCTAAGTAACATACATACACAGCTACTTCCAGAATATGTCTTATATTTTTAAACCATCAAACTTTAGCACTCATCAAAGTGTACTGCAGCACCTAATTCTATAACTTGTGTATTGTATGAAGAAATGCTTTGCTTTCCTTGCACCAAAGAACTAAATACATTCAATCTAAGGTAAAATCATGTGTGTAAAAAATATTAATAAAATGGGTGCAGGCACATCTCTTATAGGTATGGTTAAAAAAAAAACTGAGATGTTTACATATATGTTTCTGATTCACACTGAACCACAAAATCTCCCATTACAAAGTTCGGTATCCATGATCATTTTATTTTTATTTTGTCTTTCTGAAAACAAGTAAGGAACTGGGAGAATTAATGAATTTTCAGGAATGCACCAGTGGTTTGGAAAATGGTTAAAGGGTTTAAAGAGCCCCTTTGCTGACTTTGTTCACTGTGACTAGAGGCATTAGTTCCTAGTCAGATATCCTCACCTAGGTGGGCTTAACAGTACAATCTCAGTGCAGGCGTCTACTTGGGAGCATGAATCACTGGGAATTACTGTACTGAAATAGGGCTTGCTCTCAGGTAGGTGGGTGCGAGTTTACAACCAGGCCTGAATTCGCAGTCCCAGGATGCAGACGGTCACATTTTTAGAAGGATAGGGTTAGTAGCGAGAGTTTCGGGGCCCCATCCAACCCTGTCAGAACAGAAAGTAGGGGGTCCCTTAAACGCCTCGCCTCGCCTTATCCCGCCCGTCCCGAAAATACGGCCAGCAAGGCTTCCCTACGGAACACGCCGAGATGCGGGACCTTCATGCCTCCGACTGTCGCCCGGCAGTCGGCGGCCAGCTGCCACGCAAAGCGCTCCCTCGCCCGCTGCCATTAGAGAAAAGGCGGCGGCGCTCGCTCGCTCGCTCACCCACCCGCCGGTGCTGTGCATCTATGCGGGCCTGGCCACCCCCGAGCAGCGCAGCCCGACGTTTCTCTTCGATGCGCTCGGGCACTGTGAGGGCGCGTCCAGGAGGGCTAAAGCCGCCGCCGCCGCCGCTGCTGCTGCTGCACAAGCGGCGAGACAACCTCGTCGGAACTCTCCACAGCCAAGGAAGTCTGGATCTCAAAGCCGCCATGACCGACTGAGTGAACTACGAATACGCATGCGCGCAGCTTCTCTGCCATTGAGAGACTGGCAGCTCCATGTGCCCGCCCAGCCTTCGTCCCCCTCACCTCTAGGCAGGGATATTGTGTTTGTTGCCCGCTGAGGTTGTGAGTGCTTCTTCAGCGGAAGGGAGTGTTTCTAAGATGCTCTGGAGTCAGCGTCTGAAATTCTTCTACCAGATTGATGTTTTAGTACAAAACAAAAACCGTCTGCCTATGTAAAAACAAAAATAATAATGAAACAGGAGTACGTTATTTTTCGAACATGGCTTTTTAAAAGAAAACAGTTTTCCCTATTGAGACTGTAAATGTTCTAAAAGTTACCTTGCCAAAGCGTATGGATAAACACCATTATTAAGCCCATATTTACGGCAGGAAGTTGCTATTGGTTTGACTGAGAAACCATTTATCTCCATCAGTTAAATATTCCAATGTCATTATATTAATTTTGCTGAAGAGAGTGGAGAGTTAGAGCACTGGTTTCCAAGCTCAGGACCCCAGATGTTTCTGGACTACGACTCCCAGAAGCTTTCACCCCTAGCTCTGCTGGCCAGAATTTCTGGTAATTGTAGTTTAACACCTGGGAGCCCAAGGTTAGGAAACTCTTGATTTAGTGATAGCCTTGTAGTGTAGTTCACTGCTACCATCCAATGCTTTGTAGGGAACTGAGGTGATAGCAGTTTTGTGAAGATACTTGTAGCAACAGTGTAATTAAGTAGTAGAAATCATGTTACATGTCTACATAGCCTGACGTTATTGTTTAGTCGTGTCCAACTCTTTGTGACCCCATGAACCAGAGCACGCCAGGCCCTCCTGTCTTCCACTGCCTCCCGGAGTTTCCTCAGTCATGTTGGTAGCTTCAATGACACTGTCCAACCATCTCGTCCTCTGGCGTCCCCTTCTTCTCTTGCCTTCACCCTTTCCCAACACCAGGGTCTTTTCCAGGGAGTCTTCTCATGAGATGGCCAAAGTATTGGAGCCTCAGCTTCAGGATCTGTCCTTCCATAGCCTGACAAAAGGATGCAAATTATTTTTCGTCCATGTTGGGGCCTGTGGAAAATCCCTCTTAGCAGAAGCAAATACAGTAGGTGATACTTTACAGACAATTAAAAATCATTACTGTATACAGTTTGTAAGCTTTCGTGGATCAGGACCACCCACTTCACCAGGCAGGTACTGTTACCCCTGAAATTAGTAAAAAGGCAATACAAAGGATTCTTTAGCATTACATACATATTAGTAAAAGGCAATACAGAGGATTCTGGGATTACATGATATGCAGGAATACATTTAGGTAGCCTCTGAGCATGTTAAATGTATTATGTCTGTCGGTCTACTAACAGTACCAGTGTGAAGAACTTAAGAGTCCAAAAGTTAACGCCTGACGGAGTAGATAGTCCTGGTCCCCAAAAGCTCCCACACTGTATGATTATTTTTTAAGTAAGCTGTAAAAGTATTGCCTACTCTTGTATTTGCATTTTGTAGTGACCACACAGGTCCCTTTTATTTTAGTGCAAGTCTTCAGTCTGCCTTTGCTTCTCCTTTCCCTGGTTCAGCTGCTTTATATTACAACTTGTCAGATCTTGCAAGCCCGCACATTTCTTTGGACTCCAAATTTGGCCTAATAAAGGTATTAGCCGGTATAGATGTTTAATACAGCCAACATAATTATTTTCTTTCTCTTGTGAAACATACATCTTTTAATGTGTTATTTGAAGCACAGAGCCTGGGATTGGAAGCTAAATAGGTAAGCTTGTTTCTCCTGTTAATATATTAGCTGAATAGAACTGAGAGTCAGAGCTGTAACTAGCCATTTCAACAACTGGAACAATCAGCCCTGTCTCCCACCCACTCTGCTGGGAGGCATGTGTGTAAGCACTGAATGACAAAGGAGGATGGATTATGTTCCTTTCCCCTAAAAAAAAATAATAAATTGGTGGCCAGGAGGTGTTGTGCTTTATTTTCCTAACATTCACCAGTAGAGTCGCCTCTAGATTTCAGTTCCATCTTCATGCTGGTGCCAGGGAGCAAAGCTGCAGTTGCTCCACCCTACTTACAGTTGTTGGTAGAAATATACTGTTAGGACACTGAGAAATAATGGCAGGGTAAACCTAGTGTGCACATTTCTGAATGACCAGGTCTTGGTAGACTTCTTGCCCATTTTGAAATTTCCCTTTCTGTACAACTATAAAAAGTTAAAATGTTAAGCACCCTTTGCAAATATTTGCCCATGTCATTGATGTGAAATACAATTCTATGTATGCTTTAAAATAATTATGTGCCATCAAGTCAATTTTGACTTACACTGACCGCCCAGGTTATTGTACATATAAAGAACTCAGACGTGGTTTACTAGTCCTCTGTTTGGTGGTGGCCTGAGCAGCTTGATCAAGATACAGGTACAGGCATGTAACCCCATCTGCCACATGCGCTAGGAACAGTATCAGCTGCCCCCTCTTCTTAGAGACATAGTAGGGATTTGATAAATCCTGACTCTGGTCCCACAGCACTATACTCCAACTTATTGAGCTATACCAGCTCCTGTTTACTCAGAAGTAACCTTATTGTGTTTGATTGGGCTTATTCCCTTATAGGTGTATTTACGATTGCATATAATCCTTTCCACAGTTATCTGGAAGTAAATCTAATTAACCACTGTGAGATTACTATTACAGCTTTTTCATACACTGGCGTTGTTTCATGTCATTCAGGAACTGTTGTGGTCTAAATTGAAGAATCAGTTATCACAGTATTTACATCAACACATGGGTAGGATATTTGTTCCTGGGGATACTGGCTGAAAACTTGTTCGTAGCATGAGCCAAATTGTGTCTTTCCGTCTGTTACTTCAAGTTACACAGAGTGCCCTGCCTGCAATTCTCCTTACTGTCTCATTCCAAATACAGATTGCCTTCCCCTTTTGCCTATCTCTTCCCTCCTCTTCACACTGACTTCATCACTCCCTTCTCGCTTCCTAGCTTGTTTTACTCATCCACAAAGGATAGTGGAACAGAGACTGAACAGCAGGAAAATGCCCATAAGGAAATGTCATCAAATGAGAAATACAGAGCTAGACATAGAGAATTTTGTAGATATCCTGGACTGTCAGAAAGACAAACAAGTGAGTCCTAGAGCAAATCAAGCCTGTACTATCCTTGGAGGCAAAAAATGATGAAATTGAGGCAGTCCTACTTTGGACACATCCTGAGAAGGCAGGATTCTCTGGAAAAGGCAATAATGCTGGGAAAGATGGAAGGAAGTACGAAAAGATGAAGACCACATACAAGATGGATTGATTCCTTAAAGGAAGACAAAGGCCTGAGTTGACAAGAGCTGAGCAGGGCTGTTAAGGACAGAGCATTTTGGAGATTGCTCATTCATAGGGTTGCCATAAGTCAGCAATTTGATGGCACATAACAACTGCAGTTAATAAATATGAAATATACTGTGTATTGCACTATATATGTACTTAACATTTAAAATCATATATTGAAATATGAATATATCAAATACACAAAATATGGTAACAGGAGTTCACTGTCCATTATGATTAAAATATTGTATCTGCCTTATCCGGGAGGCAATGGAAGACAGGAGAGCCTGGCGTGCTCTGGTCCATGGGGTCACGAAGAGTCGGACATGACTTAACGACTAAACAACAACAATCTGCTTTATAATATGCCATTTAAAAAATTCAGCTTTTCTATAAGGATGAGGACACTCTAATATGTAAGCAATGCACATCATTACAATTACTGTATTCTGTATAATATTTAACTGATTTTGGCTTTCATCACTGTGGAAACCTAAATCTCCTGCTGCTATATTCATAATACTACATTTAAAACATGATTTACCATCAAAATCACTAGCAAGAACATATTCATTCCACTCCTCAATTAATTGTGATGGTGCGGTCAAATGCCCTTGAGCTCTACTGAGCATGCTCACTTATCTGGTCTGTTCATTGCATTTGATTCTTTAGCTCTAGCCTGTCTTTCTCCAGTGCCTCTATCTGCAGACAGAAGAGAGGGAGCAAAAAGAGAATCTGCGTTATTTTTTTCTACATATAATCTGCCTGAACTGACAACATTTGGCTTTGCATTTCTGGCTTTTCAGTATCTTTGGATTCCCAGGTAGCTATGCCCAGTTCTTCCTGTTTCCATTTCTGTTTTTCAAGGAAACAGTACTGAAAGCTACAGAATACATTTGCACTCTTTAATATCAGTTAGTTTTGGCATATTTTTGAGGAATCTCTTATCCATCATCTTCTAAACACAAGGTAATAATCATTTCTATTCCTTTGGTTCTTTATTGGTCTCTTTATGCATGAAAAAAATAAATTTCAAATGTCATTTAATGTTTATTTGAGCTACATGTTCCTGGTGCCGGCAAGATTCTATATATATATATATAAGCATGCAACTTTAAAACTGTCATATCTTTAGAAATGAATGGGTTTCACAGCAAAATGTCACTAAGCAACTTCTGAATGCCCTTGATTTAACAGGACTGCAGTAACTATATGATATTACACCCAATAATTCTGTCATATATTTAGAAGACATACCTCTTATCTCTGTTATGTTTAGTGTCCACAGTGTTTCATTTGTCAAATAGCAATTCACTATGAATGTACTACATTCCTTCTCTTGTATTTTACCCTGGCATAACTGTTGATTTTTAAAATGACTTTCACTGTCTTAGCATGTGATGAGTTACTATTTCATATACAGTACTCGTACAGCACTGTCTTACTGCAATACATGTAGTCTGTACATTTTGGGAGGTGGAAGAGAATTCAGGAAACAGATTAAAGAAATTAGATTAATCAATTAATGTGTAATAACAAATCAATATTAGAATCCAAACTGATCTCTTTAGCAGCATTGTATGAAGTTCCAAAATAGCAAAGGCACTCACTCTTTATTATGTTTAGGCCTGAGCTTATAAACTGCTATGTCTGCAGAAAAAGAGAGAATGTTAACATATTTGAAGACACAGACATACGTACTCATACAACTTGCAACCTTTGGCATTATAATTCCAAACTGATTTAGAACAGCAAACTGCTCTGACAGCAGGACAATGTCTGAAAATACACTAGCATGGCACACACACACAAATAAATGGAGATGAAACAGAACTGTAGATAATATATAAATATGTGACATCATAAATATTTTAACTACTATTGAAACAGCTGTATTAGCAAAACCACATGTACCTGTACAGTAGTAATATCAGTGCTACTGGAAATCAATATTACTAGAACAGAAATACAGCTGTTAAGATGCACCTGCCTGAAATAATGGCTACTAACCATGATGGCTATATGGCACCATGACTATGGATACTAGTTACATGCTGAGAAATGACATTGGAAAGGGGCTTACCCTCATGTTGTTACTCTGGAACCTCCCATGAGTAGGTAGTTGCCCACAGTGGAACAAAGGATGATGGAACAGATAGCCATTTCGTGTGATCCCAAATAGGATTTCTTATGCTCTTGTGTGCATAGTACAGGCATACTTGCGCAATACCACTAAAACTATACAGTATAATATTTGTGCATGTTGCTTTATGCCTGCTCTCAAAATGTATACATTCCAGGGCCAGACTCCATTGAAACATGTTCCACAGCACAGCAAATCTGGCTATAATATATATCTCTCTCACAACTTATTTACATTCTGGGTCAAAGTGAAATCTTTTTATATTCTATTCAGAACCCTTCAGAACATCTTGAACTGCAAATTTAAAACATGGGGGGAAACTATGTGGGTGTTGTGTGAGAGGTGAACATAAATAATAATTTTACAAATGTCTGATAAAAAATGCAATGATGATTATGTCACAGCATTACAATACAGTATCCTGTCACAAAATATTTTCTGTAAGGAGTATTTATATTAACATTCTGGATTCTTCTCAAAAATCTCAGTTTATCTACATTACTGAAAAGCAATTATGATTAGATTTGGGATTATTCCAATGTTTTTAAAAAGGGAGTTTAATTCTCCACTGTGCTTTGTAGGAGAGAGGTCTTGGGTAAACTACATGGTCCCAGAACATGCCCACCCAACACAAAGAATGGAAAGGTAAACCACTCTTGAGAACTTTATGCCTAGAAAAACGCTGAAAGAGGCACCATAAATCAGAATAAATTCACCAGCACATTGTAGTTGTTGTCATCAGACCTTGCCACCTAAAAAACTTAATTGCTGAATTAGTTATATTTTTTTCTTTATGTTCAGGCCTAATTATCCCAGGGAATGGATACCTCACCTTCAAAACAATATCCTGCGAAAAAACGAGTGAAAATTCATCCTAACACAGTGACAGTGAAATATAGTTCCCATTATCCACAGCCTGGAGAAGAGGAGTATGAAGAAGCTAATGAAGACAATGAGGGTTTTTTAGAAGATAATCCAAAAAGAAGGCTGCTAAGCAATGGGCAACGGAGAGGAAGGTCCTTCTTTGGAACTATTGACATCCCATCTCAAGGAGGCCAAAAGCCAGAAGACAAGAAGAGTGAACAAGAACAAGGTTTTGTAGATGGAAACATTTTTCAGTCTAGAAAAACTTGGGCTGTACTTTTTGGATCTGCTTTGGCTCATGGTTGTGTAGCCCTGATAACAAGACTTGCTTCTGATCGTTCCAAAGTGCCATCTCTAGAACTAATCTTCATTCGTTCTGTTTTACAAGTGTTTTCAGTGTTAGTTGTGTGCTACTATCATGAGGACCCTTTTGGACCCAAAGGCCACCGACTGCGGTTGTTCTTCTATGGAGTGTGTAATGTTATTTCTATTACCTGTGCTTACACTTCTTTTGCAATAGTACCCCCAAGTAATGGGACTACTATGTGGAGAGCTACCACCACTGTCTTCAGTGCCATTTTAGCATTTTTACTAGTAGATGAGCGAATGGCTTATATTGATATAATCACAATTATAGGTAGCATTGTTGGTGTTTGCTTAGTCATGATCCCCAACATTGCTGATGAAGAAAATTCTGTCTTGAATGCCTGGAAGGAAGCCTTTGGTTATACCATGACTGTTATGGCAGGCTTAACTACAGCTCTCTCAATGATAGTATACAGGTCCATTAAAGATAATGTGAGCATGTGGACAGCACTGTTTACTTTTGGTTGGACTGGAACAGTCTGGGGTGCCTCCACTATGTTTTTTCTTCAAGAGCCAATAATTCCATTGAATGGAGAAAGCTGGAGCTATCTCATAGGAATCTGTATATGCTCCACAGTGGCTTTTCTGGGTGTCTATTATGCTTTGAACAAATTCCATCCAGCCTTGGTCAGCACAGTGCAGCATCTGGAGATTGTGATAGCCATGATCCTTCAGCTTCTTGTGTTACATATCTTCCCCAGCATTTATGATATGATTGGTGGTGTAATTATCATCATTAGTGTCTTCTTCCTTGCATGTTATAAACTATCATGGAAGGACTTCAGAAAGCAAGATTATCAAGAAATACTAGATTCTTCTATTAAATGAATAGAAATTTGTTGTATTCTGTTTACTGCCATGTAGAATTAATCTGTGTTTATGTATGTCTTTTGTATAGTGTTGTTGACAGTATACTGCCATTTCATGTTCTAACATAACATCAGCCCTAGTATAACTCAGTGGAGTGCCACCAGAAATTTCTATTCTAGAAGCTTTGTGTGAAAAATGTCTTTAAATGTGGAAGCTGTGAACATTAGTATTCTCAGGCAGTATAGAGGAAGTGCCAATATTCAATATACAGAATTCTGTCCTAGGAGTTCTCTGATGGGAGTATAATAGACATACTTGAGGGTGTTTTAAATAATAGATTTTTTATCCACCAGTGCGGAGCAGCCTGTTGCAGTATTTAAGGCAAGGGAAATATGGCTATGGAAAAAAATAACAGCAAAATGAGCCCCTTGATTTCCTGGAATAAAGAACCATACTTAAACTAGAGAATTCTTCAGAGTTTGTGCCTATATTAGATGATCTGGTGCATGCAAGAAGCATACAGATCTCACCTGGCTTCTTGATCTTCAGCTCTTCCTTTTATCAGAGCTCACTATTGCGGCCAATGTTGAATTACAGCTTGAGAATTTTCTATAGGTTCATGTATAAAGAACATGCAATTGCAGATGGATATGGACTTCCAAAAGAGGATTATTGTTCATAAGAATTATATACTATACTTGTTTTTAGTGTACAATGTTTTAGAAATAAGAATTTCAAGGTGTGTGTACTTATTATGATGATTACAATTAATCTCTGATAAAGTAATCTAATGTTAACTGTTAAAACACCAAGGCCTTGCCTATATTGTCTTCTTAAGAGTAATCCGCATGCTGTTTGTAGCAACTGCCAACATCCCAAGCCCCAGTCACATGCCCAGCAAGAATTTGCAGGAATAGGCAACAGAGCAGACACAAGACACAGAATAAATACTTAATTTTAAAACACTATAAAAATAAAGGCTTTAACAGCCTACTTACAACAGCAAGATCATGGACCTGTCACACAGTCCTGGAAAGGTGATGCAAAGCTTTGCAGCACCACCAAAAGTGTTAATTTAATTATGGCAAATAGCCATTATTAAGAGCCCAAAAAACCCACAACAACCATTAGATCCCAGATGTGAAAGCCTTTGCGAATATACAGTATCAAATAGCCATTAAATTAAAGGACTTTAAAAGTGTTAAAAGTGTTCCAGAAAAACATCTACTTCTCCTTCATTGACTACGCAGAAGCCTTTGACTGCGTGGACCACAACAAACTATGGCAAGTTCTTAAAAAAATGGAAGCACCTGACCACCTTCTCTATCTCCTGAGAAATCTATATGTGGGACAGGAAGCAACAGTTAGAACTGGATATGGAAACACTGATTGGTTCAACATTGGGAAAGGAGTACGACAAGGCTGTCTATTGTCTCCCTGCTTATTTAACTTATAAGCAGAATACATCATGCAAAAGGTTGGACTGGAGGAATCTCAAGCCGGAATTAAGATTGCCGGAAGAAATATCAACAACCTCAGATATGCAGATGATACCACTCTGATGGCAGTAAGGGAGGAGAAATTAAAGAATCTCTTAATGAGAGGGAAAGAGAAGAGCACCAAAAATAGTCTGAAGCTCAAGATTAAAAAAAAACTACGATCATGGCCACTGGTTCCATCACCTCCTGGCAAATAGAAGGGGAAGATACAGAGGCAGTGACAGATTTTACTTTCCTGGGCTCCAGGATCACTGCAGATGGTGACAGCAGCCATGAAATTAAAAAACGCTGTTTCTTGGGAGGAAAGTGATGACAAACCTCGACAGCATCTTAAAAAGCAGAGACATCACCTTGCCGACAAAGGTCCGCATAGTCAAAGCTATGGTTTTTCCAGTAGCGATGTATGGAAGTGAGAGCTGGACCATAAACAAGGCTGACCGCCAAAGAACTGATGCTTTTGAATTGTGGTCCTGGAGGAGACTCTTTAGGGTCCCCGGGACTGCAAAGAGAACAAACCTATCCATTTTGAAAGAAGTTGACCCTGAGTGCTCCCTGGAAGGACAGATCCTGAAGCCAAGGCTCCAATACTTTGGCTATCTCATGAGAAGAGAAGACTCCCTGGAAATGACCCTGATGTTGGGAAAGTGTGAAGGCAAGAGATGGTTGGACAGTGTCACTGAAGCTACCAACATGAATTTGACCCAACTCCGGGAGGCAGTGGAAGACAGAAGGGGCTGGCGTGCCCTGGTCCATGGGGTCACGAAGAGTCGGACACAACTAAACAACAACAATCCTTATATCTGATGCCACATATAACCTGCCTCCTTAACTTTAGGTAGGGTGCGTGTGTCTGTCTAAAACAGGCATTCCCATCATTGCTTGGAATTGTATGAAGAAGTGGATTTGTTCATGAAAGTTCATATGAAAATATAACAATTAATATTTAAGATGCTACATTTGTTGTTTTTGTTTTTTTGCCTGACATTCTAGCACTGACTAGGATATCTCTTCTAAAACGGCATTAGAATTAGCACTGTTAATTAGCAACTTTCTTACTTGTTCTAAATCACTGTTGACTAAGGCAACCAGCCAATACTGCATAAAATGTTCCAAATGAAGAACTACAACTGGGTGTCATTCACATGCTGATGACAAACTCAAATCCATGAATAAACCGAATCATGGTTTTCAAATAGATTTCAAGCAACAGGGAAGATAATATAGAACCTGGAAGAGCCCCAAGTGTGACCTTCAAAACCAAACAGTGCCCTACTACCAGTGAGGTAGGTGTGGAACCACCAAATCACCTCAATACTTTCCCCCATGGTATGCCATAAATCATACTTTGATTAAAATCATCTTAATATCTGGATCATGTCCTATAATCAGATTGAAATGGCTCTAGATCATAAATTTTGCTCAGGCATGCCTGGACTTGCTGGCCTACCACTTCCTTCTTTATTTTGCCCAGGAGTAGAAAACCAAATGTTTGGTGCTAGTTCTCCAGATCATGGTGAGAGAATTGCTTTACAGTAGAAATAATACCACTATTTCCTTCAGACTAACAGGACTATATTAATTTTCAAAAAGGTGTTAAGTATGATGAGAAAGTAGGTCCTTGGTTTCTTTGGGATTACTAGAACTATCCAGAACAAGTCACGTGGGTGAATATTCTACCCAAAACCTGCAAAAAATTATTCTGACTAGAAGAGGACATAAATGCCTCAGGTATTTTGGGCAAAAGGGACTGGAAACTTGGGCTACCCTTTAGCATAAAGGAATAAATTGGAGGGCCCTCAAATACAGCAGGACTGGTTTCGCATTTTGAAATAGGTAGAATAATAATAAAAAATTACAGTGCAGGAAGGGGCTAGGATTATTAAATTCAGATTTTAACATTACTTCATTGTACCTGATCTCTAAAAAGGCACAAGTGCTTTACTGGAGGTAGAGCGTCTCTTTTGTGATTTCTTTTTCTATATAACTTTCAACGCCTGGAATTTCAAGCTTCCTTTGCAGATGCTTACCAATGTCATAAACGTGAAATAGAGTTCTATGTATGCTTAATAATCATTATGTTTCATCCAGTCAGTTATGACATATGGTGACCCACACAGGTTTTTGTACACATAAACAATTCCAAGCAGCCTGAAAAACCCACAACAACTATCTCCAAAGTAATTAGAAAAGGACACAAGCATCTCAAGTTTTGACTCTGACCGATTAGCAGGCTCATGGTTAGAACTGATACAGCTATTGTCCTTTGATAACAACTTGATATAAAATCCATTGATTCCTTTGCAGATGCTTACCAATGTCATAAACGTGAAATAGAGTTCTATGTATGCTTAATAATCATTATGTTTCATCCAGTCAGTTATGACATATGGTGACCCACACAGGTTTTTGTACACATAAACAACTCCAAACAGCCTGAAAAACCCACAACAACCATCTCCAAAGTAGTTAGAAAAGGACACAAGCATCTCAAGTATTGACTCTGACCGATCAGCAGGCTAATGGTTAGAACTGATACAGCTATTGTCCTTTGATAACAATTTGATATAAAATCCATTGATAAACTAACCTTCATTTATTTCTGTTACTGGATGTCACTAGCCATTTCCTTAAAGTGGAAATTTGTGTAGCATATTAAAACTTTTCCAAATTCTCATTCCACATACAATGCATTTACAGCACAATCTTGTACCTAAATAATTGCTCTTAACAACTAAGCTATTCAAATGCTGTTTTTACCTTTACTGTATACTGTATTCTGTAAACCGCCCACAGTAGATTCCCAAATCTAGATGGCTAAAAATAGAACAAATAACTAATTAATAAAATAAATAAATCCCAGAGACTTCCCTCATGCCTAAAGTGATAATAGAATTGCAGTCTTACTGGGAAATAATTTAAGCACATAGGGTTTCTGCTTTCTCTCTCCAGTTTCAAAGGCCTAAGCACTTTAATTAGTTTGCAAAATCAAATAATCACTTCAGTGTCAGGGAAGATTGAAATGATGGTTTTTGGAGATTAACGATCTTAAGGAGAAAGGATCCGTTTAATGCTCTGGGACCTTTGCCTTCTCATCATGTTGTCTCTCCTCTTGTGCATAAACACACAAACGTATTTATGGATTTATTTTATTTTCTCTCCCTCTCTTTGCCTTTTTTCTCCCTTTAAAGTAAATAAAAATAAGATTTATCAGCGCATTTCCCCCCCTCCCCTATTAGATCTGCAACTTCTGGTCGGCTAGGAACTTCACGTAGGTACAGTAGTTGCCAAGCCTCGCTTCCTTAGGGCGTCGTTCAGCTGTCAAATCCATTATTCCTCTTCAGCTCTTCGCGCCGAGTGTTTTCCTGGGTCGGACAGGGCCCAAGGAAGGCCGCGCCATCTGGCAGCACAGGAAGGGCCTTGAAAATCAAGCGACCATGCCTGAGTACGTGCAGCAAGACAGAGGGCTTTCCCATTGGTCAGCCGTGTTGCTACGGTAACAAGAGACGCTGCTGCGGTGCTGCGTGGGAGCCACTGCGGAACTCTGGAACAGGTACCGTTTTCCAAACACTTTTAGTCTGGGGGGGGGGGGGGCGCCAAGCAAGCTCGTCCAAGTTTAAAGAGCAGAAAGGGTGCGTCTGCACGAACCCTCAATTGCACCCCTTTTCTTCCCCAAACTTCTTGCATCTTCTGCCTCTTAACCCTGAGCGACTTGAAATAAAGTGCCTGGCATTCGGACACCTCTGACGTATTAATAGAGAATGACGTGGAATGCAGTGCTTTTCCTTTCAGTGGGGGGGGGGGGAGCGCCAAGCAAGCTCGTCCAAGTTTAAAGAGCAGAAAGGGTGCGTCTGCACGAACCCTCAATTGCACCCCTTTTCTTCCCCAAACTTCTTGCATCTTCTGCCTCTTAACCCTGAGCGACTTGAAATAAAGTGCCTGGCATTCGGACACCTCTGACGTATTAATAGAGAATGACGTGGAATGCAGTGCTTTTCCTTTCAGAAATCCACATGTATTTGGAGATTTTTGGCCCAAATGGGGGAAGCCTATACACTTGCCCCAATAGTTTCTTCAGCACAAATAAATAGTGAAGTCTTTTAGCCACTGCTCCGACCTCATGTCCCCTCCACCTTTTGGTCTTCTCTGCCATCCCTTCATCTGTATAGCTTTCCTTCTTGCCTCATTCTCTGCCTATACTTACTGTGCCATGGATGCTACCTAGCCATTGAGAGGAGAGGTATCAGTACAGGCCTAAGACCTCTCTTTTAAAACTAGAAACAATGACTGCAGCTAACAAAGACCTCAGAGTTCAAAAGAATCACCTCTTTCTGTCCAGTATAAGGGGGTGAAAATTCCAGGAGTAAAAGGACAGATATGCATATCGCTAACCTTTAAAATGTCTCTCTCTGTTCAAACACAAATGTTATTACAGTACTAATATGAGTCTTATTTCAAAGTGGAAACTTTTCATCCTGATTCTCCAATTCTACTAATACTATATCTGTCATTCAGTTATAGAAATCTTTTAGAGGAGTTGTGTATGTTTTAATTGATTCACCTGTTAAATCTGCATATTTTCGCACGTGAAGGGAATAATTTTAAATAAAAGTATGCAACTTTAAAAACTATTGTACAGTATGTATAATTAATCTCGGGAGAAACATAAACAAATGCCTTGATGGTGGCTTTTATCTACAGACCATCTATTAAAATAACAGTCTTTTAAGAGAGCCTCCTGCTTAGTTCATCAAGGAAATCATTTTAGTCAGTCACTGATTGATCCAAATGTTTTAGTGACAAGTCCAAATATACTTCCTTAGGAGAAACATCTACTGTCATCAGTTGGACCCCCCTTTCACTCATTATGCATAAAAGCAGTCTGTAGAGTGGCAGTAATTCCCAGTGTGGTCTAGCTAGGGGATAGAATGGTGGAATTCATTATGCATAAAAGCAGTCTGTAGAGTGCCAGTAATTCCCAGTGTGGTCTAGTTAGGGGATAGAATGGTGGAATACGATTCTGGAGAGCAGGGTTCAAATCTCCACTTGGCTGTGGAAACTCACTGGGACAGTGGAATTGGTAAAAACTACTCTTTAAATATCTCACTTCCTCTGAAAGCTCTATTAGTGTTGTTTTAAGTTGGTTCTGGCTTGATGGCACAAGCACGTACAAAGTGGCAGCACTACATAACAGACATGGTATAATAGCTTCTCCTGCAATGTTTCAAGTTACTGGAGGTCAGCCCTGTACATGTTATGTGTCATCAGGTCACATTAAATTTATGGTGACCCTAGTAGGGTTTCTGAGGTATGTGAGGTACATAAGGTGTGGTTTTACCAGTCCTGCCACCACCACCCCCCAATGAGTTTCCATGGCCAAATGGAGATTTGAGCTGTGTCTCCTGAGTTCTAGTCTGATATTGTACCCACTATACAGTACTATAATGATTTTCAGCAATACACTTACAGATAGCAATTTCCACTGAAAACATGCACTGCAATTATTGTTGCTTTTGATTTTATACTGCAATTTATATTAATTGAGTGCACAAATAATACACAAAATTTCATGGAAGTCTTATATAGTAACATGCTATTTTTGTTTTGTGTATGTGTGTGTATGTTTTGTTTTTGTTCTTTGTTCTGTTTATGGTTTGTGGTTTCTTTTTTCAGACCAATGGCCAGCAGGAAGAAGCAAGCAGCTTTGCAGGTCTGTGAAAAGATTCATGCTACAAATATCACTGTTCCAAGTTTAACATTTCCTGGAGTGGGTGGGTTTGGCACAAGATTGTATTATATTTTGCCAATAAAACCATCATACAAAACAGCAGTTCTAAAATAGAAAACAAATGAATTCTAAATAGATTATCAGTCTCCCAGGCAACAAGCGGTAATTCCTCTTTCCACTCCACCCCACTTAATGAATCAGAAGGAAAACATAAGAACTGATATAAAGTAATCACTACAATGCAGCTTTCTGGAAATAAATCACTGGCACAAGGTATTATACTTAGCAGAATAAAGTAAAATAAGAACCAAAGACTAATTGGAACAGGCTATCATCCATGTTTTCTATTTTCAAATAAGAATGAGATATCCATTTGTGATCCCTGTCAGCCCCTTTTCCTCTTTGTGCAACATTGTGGTGCAAAGATGACTCTGACACTTCTGTTTTTTTGCATTAAAATATATTTAGTAACAAGCTTTTATGGTCTTTATCAACAACATCAGCCTCTTGCTTTGCAGAGACGGTGCAAACTTCTCATCCTCAAACAGTAACAGATTCCCCTTCAAAGTGAGAAGAATTCCAGATACGATTGTACCATCTAGATTCACAGGCCAGATTGTCTGGTGTTGTTATTCTCGGCCTGACTGAGGGGGGTGAAATATCCAGCCCACTCGTGGCTCCCAAACTCTTCTGCCCAATGTAGGTCTTGGGTTGGGTTGAAATGGACTGACCCCACCGGGTTTCCCAGCTTTCTTCATACCACAGTTGCGTTCCTTCCATTGGGTCTCTGTATCCAAGCTTTATATTTCTTTCTTCTCTTTTGTCTCGCCCCAGTAGGATGTTTTTCTATATACAGTATCTGCCACTCTTTCTCAACGTAGTCTCTCAGCACCTTAAATTCCACCCATTCTCCTGTCCAGGGGTCTTCCTTTATCAAATCCACTAGATCCTCCTTTTCCTCCACCTTCTCCATCCAACATGCTTCTCCTTCTCCTAAATCTACCAACTGCTCCCCCTCCTCCTCCTTTCCTGCTTCCTCTTGCTCCTCTTTCCCCTCCAAAATAGTGCCCTCTCTGGCTTCTGTCTCTAAATCCAGTTCCTGTAAATCTTTCATTAGGTCCGTCAGTTGTCCCTTGTTGTTTCCTCTTAAAGAGACAGATGGTACACCCTTCAGACCACCTCTGAGGGTGTTCCCAGTCTCACACCATCTAAAGAGATGGTATAGTTGAGACAGATTTAGGCCTTTGGTTGCAAGGACACCTCTGATTTGTTCCCATGAAAAATGAGGCCAAGACAGAAAGATTGCCCTTTTAGATTCACTCTGTTAACATGGATATCTCTTTGGTGCAGAGGAGGGAAACGTTAAGGAAGAATGCATGTTTCAGTACCAGGTAGTGTTCCAATTCTACATACTCATACATTCCTGCTTTGATTCATGGCCTATTAATTGGGGCAAGTATGTCAGATACCTCAAGGAATTTTTTTTTGTTTAGTTTATAATCTGCCCTTTTTCCCCCAGTGTACCGAAGGCTGCATATATGGGTTTTTCTTTTTAATGTCAACTATCTTATCTTGTGATATAGGTTAGATTGAAGGTATGCAGCTGGCACAAGGTTGCCCAGAGGACTTCATAGCTGAATAAGAATTTGAACTATAAATCCCCACCACCTCCCTGTTACATCAACTCATCTGGCTGCTGATCCGTTTCTGTGCTGAATTCAAGATGTTGGGTCTAACCCATAAAGGCTTACATGCCTTGGGCCCAAGTTATATCAAGGATCTCAAGTGTTAAGATCATCAGGAGAGGCCTTTCTCTTGGCCCACCTTCCCAGGTGCATTTGGTGGGTACACGGGAGACGGTCTTCTCTGTTGCTGATGCCAGACTTTGGAACTCCCTCCCACAAGAGGCTATGCTGGCTGCATTTTTCCTGCCTTTCAGCAACCTAAAAATACCTTTCTCTTTAGGCAAGCTTTCCCTGAGCGGCTGCCTGCCTACAAGGATGCTACTGCATTTAATGTGTTTTGATGTTGCTTGTTATTTGTGTGGTATTTGTTTGATCCTTTTTAATGTTTGTATACTCACTGTTGTTAGCTTTAGTATTGTCTTTAATTATATAAGCCCCCCTTGCCCTCTTTTAAGGAGAAAGGTTGGGGTAAAAATATTTTAAATAAAAAAATTAATGTTTTCTGAGTCCTGGCCCAACATTCTAACCACTATATATATATAATGATGCTTTGGATAATTTAATTTCTAAAAAAAATAAAAAAAAAATAAAGGTGTGGACCTTATAGTACACAATAAAAATGTAAGGATGTATAATACATGTCTTAGAACGTTTTAAAAAATTACAAACTTAAGCTAATTTTCAACTCTGCCTGGGTCTTCACCAGGCTTGTCACCACGTACAGAAGAAATACTAAGGCTGTAAAAACCATGACCAGATTTGCGGCCCAGGTTTCTCTGCTTAAAGCAAGATATAGAGCCACGGGAGGGAAGGGGATCATGAATTACTTGTAACCCTTTGTCTAATAAGAATATTCTATCTAAAAAGATTCCAGTCCAAAGGTGAAATCTGAATCCTGAGCCTTTAGCCCATTTGTTGAAACGTGCTTTAAACAGATAAGCCTAGCCAGCACATCTTTTTGACTCTTTCATGTTTTTTCTACATCACCTCCAGCCCTGCACTGTACAGGCTGGTGAAGAGTCAGGTGGGATCAAAATCTAGCTTATGTTTGTGGTTTTCTAATAGTGTAATGAAGTTATTGTCCACCCTTGCCTTTGATTTCTAATGCAAATGAGTAAATAAACATAGATAACATTAGAAATGGCTGTAACAAAAGGAAGCACATATGGATTACTTGACCAGCTATAGAAATCCAATTATGTTTGGAAATTACTATAATGACATTTGCTAGTTATATAAGTCTGGCAATTATGTATTGTTGTCACAGAAGAGCAATACAGTACTTTGTTAATTTTTAAATTTTGCTTTGTATTTTAATCTCAGCGAGATATGCTTGTGGAATTTCAGGCCAAAGGTGTCAAAATAAGTTGACCTGGATGCTATTCACCTTGACTGGAGAGGGTACCATTTGCATCTCTGCCTCTGGCAAAAAAATGTCTTGCTGTTGTCCTAAAAGCAAAGTTGACCAAGAGGGCTTTCATATTTGAAGGAGATGCAATTATTGCTCTAATTTGGGAGAGGACATTTTGCAGGGTTCTCTTAGTGGGGGAAGGAACTTTCCAGTTGGGTCCACTCCTCCCCCTCACTACAGTAATCACTGCCCATTTTCTTGCCCTCTGTTGGGACTTTAAGCTCCATAAAACAAAAGGAAGAAATTGTTTTTTTTAATCTCCTGATCTCTCTTGTCAATTGAATGCTGAGAGGTTAGGTGAACTGGCAGTGATAGCAAGGAGAAGAAACAGCATGAACCAGAATCTGTGAAGATACAGGATACAGTATAATTATGTATAATTACTCACAAGGAGGCATATTAACCTAAAGGATTGCTATCGATGTCACCTGGGAATCATAGAGAGAGTTGCATGATTTGCAAACTCTCATTGTATATATCTGTGAAGATGTGGAATTATGAATACATTGAGTGCTAAGCTAATTAAGGTGTGTGTGTAGAAAAAGCAGCCCTGAAAATGTACACTGTTGCAGTTTTGAATTTTTTTGTTAAATTCATCTAGTTGCTCAGCGGAAGTGCTAGGATTCACAGAGCAAAATGGCTTCAAGTTCCCCAGAGTAGTCCACTCCTTTCTCATTAACTGCATTTAGAGTCTTAATAAATCACTCTAAGACATATGTAAGAACAAGAAAAAAATTCATTACAGTACTTACAAATCAACAGATCAAACAGCAAACTGACAAACATTACTGCTTTCAGCAACAGACTTCAACAGACTCAAGAAAAGGAAAGAGAAGCTCAGAATAGAGAGGTGGGGCTCTCTTTTAATGCAGAGGCAAGAGGGAATGATTGGCTAATGCTGAATAGATTAACAGTCACCCCAGCCCAGAAAGGTCCCTCCCAGCTGCACCTACTGAAGGCGGAATGTGAGGTTATAAAAACTCCATCATTTTAAAAATGAAATTTGAACAGTTTACTAAAAGTCACTGTGAAACAATCAGCTAGCTCAATCAGCACGCACACACAATCCACAAAAAACAATGTTAGAATAAGAATAGAAGTATCTTATTTTATAAGGTTCCAGAAAATCTTTGTCACTTTTGGTACAAAGGAACAATGTAAATATTCCTCTGCAAATCTATAGAAAAATATCAATGATTTCTTTATCTAAAAATTACTCTGTAACGGATATGATATCTACAAATCCTGCCATCAAGTGGTCAGAGGAAGAAATTATTACTTCAATGTTACTCGTTAATTACATCAAAGTAGACCTATAGGTTTACACGGGAACTGCTGCTCTGTAACCCTGAATCTGTTACTCATAGTCTGACCTTAAAGTATTCTGTCCTAAATAAAGTTTAATATTCTTCCACTAAAATATTTTGCTCAGCGGAAGTGCTGGGCAATTGATGCATTTGAACTGTGGTGCTGGAGGAGGATCTTGAGAGTCCCCTGGACTTCAAGGAGAACAAACCTATCCATTCTAAAGGAAATCAACCCTGAGTGCTCACTGGAAGGACAGATCCTGAAGCTGAGGCTCCAATATTTTGGCCATCTCATGAGAAGAGAAGACTCCTTGGAAAAGACCTTGATGTTAGGAAAGTGTGAAGGCAAGAGGAGAAGGGGACGACAGAGGATGAGATGGTTGGACAGTGTCATCGAAGCAACCAATATGAATTTGACCCAACTCCGGGAGGCAGTGGAAGATAGGAGGGCCTGGCGTGCTCTGGTCCATGGGGTCACGAAGAGTCGGACACGACTGAACGACTAAACGACGAAGAAAATATTTTGAGAGCCTTGTAATACGATTCTAAACACTTATATCCAGAAGTTGAATGAGAATGCATGCCTCATATGTATGCTTAAGATTATAGCTGTGCAATGTGATTCTATTCATATTTTTTCTCAGAAGTAAGCCCCACTGTATCCAGTGGGATTTGTTTTCAAACTGGTCTGTGCTGGTTTTCTTGTTTAAAGGTGGGAATAAGAATACAATCTTATAACCAGGGCTCTGTATACCAGAATGTTAATATTTTAATGTTTGGCAATGCGTGTAGAAAAGTATGGTGTCTTACATTAATTTGCAATGTCATGCAATACTAGCAGATGGAAGCGTATTACATATTTACACTAATCGAACTCAGCAGGCATAACTCTCAGTGATGAATTGTCATATAGTGAAGACATTAGCAGAGGCATTTGATGCTGCCTGTCACATTGGCCTGGTGGAGCCTGAGATAGGTTACTAAAATAAAAACTACAGCTATAGAACTTCCTGGCCCTACTTTGATATACCAATGGAACATTCCACTAATGCAACTTTGCACTGATGCAGATATGCTGGTGGAATGGCCAGTACTTCATAGAGCATCCTACAATTCCCCAGTCATATCATTCATAAAATTTCAAACCTTTGTATAAGACATGTCCCTCCTACTTGTTTTGACGCAAGGGCAATTAAAATTATTTGCCACACCAAACCTGCCATGATAAAGCATAGAATATGGTATAATTCAATACCCTTTTGTATCACACCTTTGTCAATATATACAGTGGGGTCTTGACTTAAGAACAGCTTGAGTTAAGAACATTTTGACTTAAGAACCGCTGTCAGAGGAAAATATTGACTTGACTTAAGTACTTAGATTTGAGTTAAGAACTAAAAAAAAACCACGTGGGAGGCAGGGAAAGTGCAAAATGTGAACTTTCAGTTAACAGTTGGCCAGTGAAAAGGGTGCCTGTCTTCTTCCTCACTCCTCCCAGCGTTTAGAGAGTGGATTGGGAGACAGTCTTCAGACTGCCTGGTACTGTATAGCCTGGACTGTATTTTCCCTGCCTTCCCTGAACCTTTCTTGACCTAAGAAAAAAAAGAAACAAAATATCCCCCTCTAGTGGTCGAAGGCAGAATAGCAGCTTCCCATTAGTTTCTATGGACAGAAAAGAACAGATACGGATCAAATGGTTTTCAATGCATTCCTATGGGAAACGCAGATTTGACTTGAGAACTTTTTGACTTGAGAACCGCCTTCCAATACGGATTAAGTTCTCAAGTCAAGACCCCACTGTAAACCCCAAATAGGGAGATTATAATGTAGGTGAAAGAACGAGTGGTATCGATTAATATATTGGCAAATGACAATTTAAAAAGAAGTTTGAAGCCTAACATATTTCAGTGTGAGTTTTCATGTATCATATTCCACTTCCTTAGACAATATTGAGGAAGTGGATTTTAACCCAAAAAGGTTTGCACTGAAATAAAATTGTCTTGAAAGTGTGACAATATTTTGCCTTTTCTCCCTTTTTCTTTTCCCAGCATGCCAAGACGAAGTCTGTGGCTACACAATCAAATACCATGGGATTTCCTATGGTTATTGTATGGGTTGATTTGAAGTTTTTAATTTTTCTGATCATGAAATACAAGTGTTGATTCAAAAAGGATCTGGCCCCTTTTGCTCCCAAAATTGCTCTTCTCCCTCTGCTGCTGGAGGATTCTATTTTTTTTTCAAGAAGGAATATTTTGAATGGACTTTTTCCTGTGTGATCAGCCGATCTGTTCTTGTAGAGACTGCGGGCATGTCTGTGGGTAGTGTTTCAGTGATGTAGGCAGTTGAGCTTGATGTTCAGGACCACAGGATCGCCTACCCTTATGTTTTCCCAACCCTCAATCATTATCTGAAATTAGCTCTAGATCATCTTGTCATCTTATTACTAGTATTAACATACTAGTTTAGCACTATTTTCTGCTGGTCAATGACCGTAATAAAGCTCATTCATTCATTCATTCATTCATTCATTCATTCATTCATTCATTCATTCATATAATCTCTATATGAGGGAAAAAATTAAAATTACAAACAAAACAGAAACAGTAGTTGCCAGTCCTTGCTCTATAACAAAACAAAGAATTGCAACTGAAGAAGAAACTAGTTCACAGATGTTTATCTTATAAATCATGTTACGTATTTCCATTCATTGAATTTTATTCTCCTTACAAACACCTTGTGGTTTCTTATGACTTTGACTCCTATCAGTTATTTAAAAATTTAAGTAACATATATCTTTATTGCTTCCTAAGTGTCTTTTCAGGTAAATACATTATGGAAGGCTGTTTTGTCTTACTAAAAGGTTTCTCACTGGTATTGTTTATTTACGTACACACAGATGTTTATCAATAATCAGGAACTTTGGGAAGAAATGTTGGGTTCCAAAGGACTGACTGGTAAGACTGTTGCAAATATAATATAGAGTTCACTCACTCTGTTACTGTTCAGAATTATAAATATATATTGGAAAATTTTACAGCTGTTATGTGCTTCTGTGGTTCTCCAGATATTTTATCCCTTCAACTCCCACTTGTGAGGGATTATGGGATCTCTATTCCAAAATAATCTGGAGCAACACCATCACTCAACCCTGCTTTATAGAACAAACTCTGTTCTTTCTTTGTTGATGAGATTCTTATTTATATGAGATTCAGCATTATCATAATCTTAGACTAGGCCCATTGAGTCTAATCAATGGGCCTAGTCTAGTGGGTATTTGGTGAATCAACTCCTCTGTAAATTCCATTGATTCAAATGGGCTTACTCTATTTACAGATTATTTTAGTGTAATAAGGTGCAACTAAAATAGGCCTGTTTGAATTAATGGAATTTATGGATGAGTTGGCTCGTCAAACCCCCACTGATGCCTGCTCTAGCATGACTTACTAGACTAAGCAACAGGCTTTGTCTCACACATTTTAAAATACTGTGTTTCGAACGATGACAAAAATGCTTCTGAGTGGCTACAGAACTATACATGGACCAACATCAGGGACTGGCATCACTGAATACTTGCCACGTTCCTGTAGAGCAGCGGTCCCCAACCTTTCGCTCTGCAGACCAGCTGTGGAAGGGGGGGCCCTGGGTTCATGTGCATGCATGAACAAGCGCTCTCTCTCTTGCATGAGTGCACATGCACTCGTGTGCATGCACAAACAGCAGCACGGCACTCACACGGGCATGCTGGAGCATGCATACAGGCACAAATGAGCTGTGCGGGGGTGAGTGCGTGCGGGCGTGGGTGGGGCGGGAGGTCTGTCTCAGTGGCCTGGTCCAGATGAGGCCACAGACCAGCACTTGGCTGCGGACTGGGGTTGGGGACCTCTGCTGTAGAGGATCCATGGCCAGATATCATTGCCATTTAACCTAGATGTTGCTGCTGTTTGAACAGGTTGTTGCCTGTTTACCTGACTTTTCTGAGGAAGTGAACAGCAGAGCATTCATTCATTGTGATTTCTCCTTCTTGGCCACCAAAGAAAATGGGTTCAGAAGAAAATAAAGTGAAGGCTAGTGGAAACAATAGTGAGGAGGAGTGATAGAATAAATCAGTTACAGGATAACTTATTAAAACCATGGGTTCCCCCAAACCTGTTACTAGCTTTAACTCTGTAAGGTAAAGGTAAAGGTTCCCCTTGACAATTTTTGTCCAGTCGTGCTCGACTCTAGGGGGCGGTGCTCATCCCCGTTTCCAAGCCATAGAGCCAGCGTTTTGTCGGAAGACAATCTTCCGTGGTCACATGGCCAGTGCGACTTAGACACGGAACGCTGTTACCTTCCCACCAAGGTGGTCCCTATTGATCTACTTGCGTTTGCATGCTTTCGAACCGCTAGTTGGTGGGAGCTGGGACAAGCGACGGGAGCTCACTCCATCACGTGGATTCGATCTTACGACTGCTGGTCTTCTGACTCTGCAGCACAGGCTTCTGCGGTTTAGCCCACAGTGCCACCATGTCCCTACTCTGTATCTCAGTGCAAATATAGCACATTGCAAATATAGCACAGTGCAAATGTAGCACATTTCTGGAGCTTTTTTTATGCCAGTGTTCAAATAATCATTATGGAAAGTCCTGATTGAATATGTTTTTATATTAAATCCCTTACATAGAGAAATTTCATATGGAAGCACAAGCCTCTAGGTAAACCTGTTTTTCATAGGTTGGCTTTAAGGCATGTCAAACGCTTCTTACATTAATTAAGGCAAACTAGCAAACAAAGAAGAGAGCCAAGGGAGGGGAATTTCCGTATATCTAAAATGTTTCCATACTCAGAAGAGACAAGAGGAATGTGCAAAGAAACCCTAAGTATTGTATTTATCTCTATCTCTGGTGCCTCCTTGGGGCGCACAGTTGCTTGTGCAAGCATGGTCACACACATTTCTCCACCAGCTGCACTGATGCTTTGAGAAGATCCATTTGACAAGTATGAGACACCACACAAGGCAACTTTTGGAGGGGTGCAGGGGGTAGAAAGGTAGGAAAACTAGAACCACGAGAAGCAGCTTAGACTTCATCTCCCAGAATCATTATAGCAGCCCCTCCACTCTGCCCGTCTGTTATCTAGCATAAATCTCTACAAGAAGGGGATATTTGTTAAAGTAATTGATAATCACATCAGGGAGTAGTTGTAATTAATGGTTTAATTTCTATGTGCTAGATTAAACTCTCTGCATTCTTCACATATATCAGAATTCCACTGAGAGAATTTAATTTCCTTGCAGTGGTAGATGTTTATCAAGGCTGGTGTGGACCATGTAAAACAGTAGTAAATCTCTTCAGGAAAATTAGAAACGAACTTGGCAATAACCTCCTGCATTTTGCTGTGGTAAGATAACTTCAGACCTACAAAACAGCTGACAGCCATTGGTGTTGTTTAGAACAGTGGTCCCAAACCTCGGACCTCCAGATGTTCTTGGACTACAACTCCCAGAAGCCTTCACCATCACATCTGCTGGCCAGGATTCCTGGGAGTTGAAGTCCAAGAACATCTGGAGGCCCAAGGTTGGGGACCACTGGTTTAGAACGTTCCTTTGCTTTGATAGCCTAAACTATGTTGCAGTCTTATGAACGCTTACTGGGAAATGGCGGTTCTTATAATCCTGTAGGTGGCATTGGCAAACTGTTCCTGTGAAGTTCCAAATACGGGGGTCCATAGTTCACAAAGTTGATGTGAGCATCACCACCCCACAAACACACCTAGAATAGGGGTGATGGGCAAAACTGCCCCAGTGGCCAGTAAAAGCTGGCATTTACTGAGACTGGGAAATGGTGTACAACAAGGCAAGGTTGCTTTTAGAACTACTGGGTGACTCAGTGGTTTAGGCATCTGGCTCCCCAGTCAGAGGTTGGGAGTTCAATTCCTCACTGTGCCTCCAGGGGCTGGACTCAGTGATCCATAGGGTCCCTTCCAGCTCTGCAGTTCAAAGTTTGTTTTCTCTCACCTTGTCCAGCCATTAAGGGGCTGAGTGCCAGACACGAGCCTCCCTAAGGATTCCGTCCACTCCACTGCCTGAGTTGGCTAAAGGCCAGTGAGCTCAAAGTCTATGCCTGGTTGTGGCTTAAACCAGTGGTCCCCAACCTTGGGCCTCCAGATGTTCTTGAACTACAACTCCCAGAAACCTTCCCCACCACCTCTGCTGGCCAAGATTTCTGGGAGTTGAAGTTCAAGGACATCTGGAGGCCCAAGGTTGGGGACCACTGGCTTAAAGGACTGTTTCAGCAGGCCAACTCTGTGCAGGGAGGGCTTGTAGTACTGAGTCTCAGCCGTGGTTTCCTGCCTTGATTCCCTCTATAACACCTTTGTTGCCACCAGCTTTCAGCCTGGGTCACTGTCACCTCCTTGCACAGATAGCTGCCAGCGTGCCCTTCAGGGAGTGTGAGGCAAGAGCAGATACCTCACCAGGGGCACTGGAAGCAACCTCTTCACAGCTGGCTATATTTTAACTCATCACTCATGTTGATTTTATAGCTGTGTGCCACAGATTTCCTCATATAACAGTAAGACTTGTACCCAGACATCTTCCAACTCCTGTTCTTATAATAAGTGATGGACTGTTTACAAATGTGAAATCAATGAGTATTAATTTGAATGTGTATATATAACTGAGGATTCTGCTTGAACTCATATTGTTCAATAGACATGGGAAGAGTTAGTGAGGGAACCACTGCAAGCTATGTCTGTTGCTGCTGTACACCTGCTGGGCATGTCCCGTTCCCACCCCCTCAGTCAGGATATTCAAGACAAATTTGAAAGAGAACCTCAAGTGAGAGTGTTTCAACAGCCCTTGTGCACAACTGAGAATTCTACTAATGATCCTCTATGAAGGGGCCCACACTAGAACAGTTTTAACTACTGTATAGATTCCATGCAAGCATATAAGACACATGAGTTTGAAAAGAGGTAATGCAAGAGAGAGATTGGGTAGAGCTGGAGCACCTCTGTATCTGAGACTTTGCTTTCCTCATCCCACTTCCCCTGCAGAGAAAGTGAAGGGAAAATTAAGTCAGGTACGCTCAGCTGACACAGTTTCTACCTCTGAACGCTGTGTTCACTGATACACCATAGCTTTCAAACTATCAGTAGAGTGAGCCTGCCCTTGCTTGCTCTATGCCTTAAAACAGGAGTGGGGAATTTCTGAGGGTCTTGTGGGCAATTTTGCTCTCCCTGGACCTTGTTGGGTCACATATACCCTCCAGACTTCTCCTGCACTTCCCAAAATAGTAATTTGTGCCCCAGAACCTGTGCGGAATGCAGTGTGTATGGAGGAAGTGCATTTTGGGCTGGAAAGAAAACATCCTTAGAAACATGAAATGACTGGAGGATAATTTCCTTCCTTCCTTCCCGAAGCAGGCTTGGCAGTGAAAATAAAGTATCTGTTAAATGGCTAGTTGTGTCCCCACTATTGGCTTCTGAGGCTGAAATCTGCCATTTTGTCATGGCATTTTGAGGACTGGAGGAGCTGGGGAACTCTCTGGAGACCCTAGAGACTGAACATAATCCAAGTGCAGTATTTCCCCCTCCCTTGAAGGGCAAAATCTTAGATTTTAAAAAAGTGTTCTGATATAACAGGTTCTTGTTCTGTTCCTCTGAAAAGGTGCTTACATAGTTGTGAACATTTGCTCTTGGTAAATTATTTAATTTACTTTCTGTTTAGGCTGAGGTAGATTCAATTGATGCCCTAGAGAAATATCGTGGAAAATGTGAGCCTACATTTCTCTTCTATGGTGTAAGTTGATTCAAACGACTGGCTGGCTGTTTAAACTTGAGAGAGAGAGAGAGAGAGAGAGATTGCTGTTATCCACAGTTTTCAGTATCCATGGGGTGGGTGGGCTTGGAACCAATCCCCAGCAGATATTGGGGCCCTACTGAAGGTCATGATTATTATACTTTTAGACAGATCAATTCAATGGCCTAGCTTTGCTGAGAGGCTGTTAAAATTAGAGGTAATACTGGCTGGAATACTTAGTTGCTTGATTGTAAATGCTGCTGATGTCACTAGTCATTGATAGTAATCTTTATTGTAACTCCAAATGATGAGTTCCACTCATAACACTCTTTTGCTTTCTCATGTCTTCTCTCATTTTACTTGGGAAAATTAAAATGACTGCTCTCTGCTTTTTAATTGTTAACGTGAGAAGCCTTTCATCTAAATTTTTTTTTTTACTGTGCATATTCACCATGGTCCTGTAATCAAGCAGAAACAATGGCAATAGTAGATGTGAAAACAGATAGAGATAAAAATGTTACGTGATGTTATAACACCAGACTCTCTACTAGTTTTTAATTTGATATCTGTTTTATTATTTTCAAATAATATAATTTCTTAGGTTTTAATATTTTATATTTTAATACTGTAAGCCATCTTGGGTATAAATATTTAAAATAAATAATAACAAATAAAATAAAATGCAGATTCTGCCACTGTATAAATTTGTGTGTTGACATAAATTAGATCTGTAAATAAGTGGGCTATTACTGTCTATTTTATTTCAGGGGGGTGAATTAGTAGCAGTTATAAGAGGAGCAAATGCCCCATTGTTACAGAAAACCATTCAGGAACAACTGGAGGCAGAACAGAAGGTCTTGGAACATGGTGCAGAAAGAGTGGTGGTAATCTAATTTCCTAGTGTTTACTTGTCACTCCTTTAAACTGCATCACATATTAGAATATTAAATCTAGTCTAACCACCTACTCAGTGCAGGAAATTAATTCTGACTAAGTGTGGGGAAGAGTCATTACTCAATAGTAGTACTGATGCTTTGCATGCAGAAGGCCCAAAGTCCATTTTCTAGCACTTCTTGCTGGACTAGGAATTATCCCTACCTAAAACTTAGAGTTTTAAATAGGGATCATTCCTGTGCCGGTTAGTGGCCAAAATCCTGCTTGATAAATTATGCTTACACAAAGGTGATTACGTCACTGATAGTAATTAAATAATTCCTACTTCTGTCTTGCAGTTCTTCCAATTAACATGTAATCATTATCATTACACACAAGCCATGTGGGCCCTGGAATGGAAGCAGGAACTCTTTAATTACCAGCATTCTTTTCTGCCAAATGATGTAACTATCAGGGAGACTTTTTCAGTAATTAAAGAGTTCCTACTTCTCTCCTGGGGCTTGCATGACTTGCATACAATGACACTAATGGGCCATGCAATAACCAGTATTCTAATTACTTAAAATCTCTGCTTACCAGTGACATCACCATCCTTATGCAGGTGTAATTTAGAGACAGTGTGAGAAAGTGGACAAGGCGAAGACTCCTCTTGCCAGCGTGCCATCCCTCCTCCTAATGCAATAATGGGGCTTGAAACATCAAATCTTCACCATCTCATTGGACCAGAGGTTCTCTAACTGTAACCATCCTCCTCATCCTAGAGGGATTTATTTCCCCTTCTCCTTCTCCTCTGCCTCCCGATCTGTCTCTTCTCCCCAGTCTAACCCTTCTATGTGCCCAAAAACATAACTATGAAACATAAACAATTGATTAAAACACACACACCACCTGGAGCTGCCATGATAGGAGAGGGGGCCAGCCAGGCCCTTGCCACCAGACCAGGGCTGTTGCAATACCAACAACAGGGCCCTACGTAAGCCCATGACCCATCTTTCTTAGGCCACTTCCTGAAGACGAAAAGCAGCACAGTATTTATTGAATACTTATTTATTTGTGTATTTATTTATTGAAATATTTATTTATTTATTGGGGGGGGGGAAATGTATAGCCAAAACCATGCTTCCCAAATCTATGCAGTTCAAGGGAGAAGTGTAGTTATAGACCAGTTCCTGTATCGTCTCCATTAATAAAGACAGTTAAGTGAAAGCAAGAGCCTTCTCCCAGGATTCCTTTTGAAAAAGGGAAGAACTCTATGGGGAAGTAAAACCCACTCACAAACAGAATTTTGACCAGTGTTGTAGAGAGACGAGCGTAAACGATTTAATGGTCATTTAACATGAGGCAACTTCCTATTTGCCTAACACTCCTATCAATAAAGCAACAAATAGCCAGAGAATGTAGCTAAAAGTTACCTATAAGAAAATATATGTGGGTAACGCTTTTAAAAAGAGTTGTTGTGGTCTGATGCCAGATCCAGGATGAAGCTCTTCCTAAGGAAGATGAAAGCAGTACTCTTGGAGAGGAAGAGGAAGAGGATGAGGAAGATGAAGCAGGTATGCGTTTTTACTTCAGAGGGCAACATGCACTGTCCCAGTATCCTAACTCCCCAGTGCCCCAACTCTGAAAACATTTTTAAAAACTGGGGGGGGGG